GCATAATATCAAATTTATCTTATTTTAAGGGTAAAAATGCTCATTCCATTCGCAGATCATCTTATTTTCCTACTCAGATTTAAGGTAAATACACTTGTTTAAAGACATTTTTACTAATTTTCAGAACGTTTTTGCAGTGTACCTTTTGTGAGATGTTTCCCCCCAGGCCCTATAAAACTGCTGTTTAAAAATAACAACTTAGACAAACTACTACAGCAGAACTACAGGCCCATCTTGAACTTCCCCTTCAGTACAATTATTTAAATAGCTGTTTTACAGCTACCTTCCTAACATACATACATTGTTGTAAAATGCTTCAAAATGTTCACCAACATTGAAAGAGGCCGAGTACACTGAAGTGACATGAAATTACAGATTTCAACAAATTCCTATGACCATGGGTTTATGGAATTAACATTTTTAAGTCTTATTAAACAATTAAAACAGAAAATTCATATTTCAATCCAAAGAAAATCAGGCTCAAAATGTGGAGGTAGTGATGGACTCAGACCTGAACCTTTAGTGCCTCATAAAGACAGTAATAAAGTCGGCCTTCTATCGCCCAGAGAATAAAAGAAATAATGTATATATATATATATATATATATATATATATATATATATATATATATATATATATATATATATATGTTCGTCAATACATCACAAAATGGATAAGCTGCAAAATACATTGCAGACTTCCCATTAGTACATCTACTGCCCAGACCTCTCAGGTTTCCTGGCTCTGATCTACTCTGTGTACCCAGAACCAGAACCAAACACAGAGAAGAAGCATTTAATACTTTTGACTATTGATAAGGAATAAACTCCCAGAAAGCTATAAAAGCTATAAATTTGTTTTACAATGAGATTAACAAGGCATTTGTTTAGAGTGGGATTTGATGGAGCTATTGTATCTAAATATTTACGTTACGTTTGTAAAAAAAAAAAAAAAAAAAAGGTACAGTAAATTTAGTTACATTTCCAGCTTAACTGTTATTCTATATTTCTTAATCATTTTATCTAGTTTTAATAACTTTCATTATTAATTATAAACATGTTCTACGTATAAATATTATCCTCTTATTTTAATGTGTTCATTTTATTCTTTTTAACTATTTGTAATGCCTTTAAGCCACTGCAATTTTCTTTTTCTGATGTTCATCACTTTGGATTGTCTTGATGCTAAAATCTGGCCTGTAGATAAATTTATCTTACCTATTACATAGAAATACATAGTTGTGTCATTTCATTAATATCCTTTGAAATCTCTTAAAAGAGTATATTAATTGTAGCTACTATCTACTGTATTTTGGAATGTATTTTATACCTAAATGTTATTAAGTTCACTGATCTTCTGATCTCGCAGCTAAAAAGGAAGAGGAATCTGTTTATACTGAGGTGAAGGTGAAGAAAGAACCAGCTCAAGGTATGTAAAAAAAGGTACTTCAAAGTACTTCAATGTAAAATCTAAAACATATTCCCAAATCAGATGTTTTAAAAAAAATAAATAAATATTGCTAATGGTAATTATCCCAAATTATTCCTGTTGTTCACTAAAAAGTACTACTTCTGCAAATACCAATACTATCTTCCAAAGTTATTATCATCCCTGGCAGGTGTTATGGAAATTTTAAATAACAAGAATTAAGAAACTTTCCACAACATAAGAGAAGATCAATTTTATCGTGCCAAAATTATTCGAAAGCATACAGCGTCCATACGCACACACATGCCACCCGGACAGTGAATGTGCCCTGAGCAGAAACTAATCAAATCCCTTATAACCATCCAGTGGCTAACAGCAGTGCAGTGATGAAAAACAGAAGCGAAGAGGATCCAATCCACTTTATTTATATAGCACGATTTCAATAAACACAAGGTTTCCAAAGTGCTGCACAAAAGGATAAAATAACTTAAATAAATAAAAATAAATAAAAGTAAATAAAATAGAATAAAAGCACTGCCCGCACAGGATAAAGATATGCATGTGTATACATAAAATAAAGGATAAAACAAAGAACTCTTTAGGAGATTACTTCACCTAGGGACCAGGGTAATAAACCTGACATCATACATATATATTTAAGAAAAGACTTGGTTACTATTCCAAAGTATAAGGATGAACAGGAGTAATGAATTTGTATTGTATGTTGAACTGTGTTTTATGCTTAAATGTAAAGTTTATTAATCTTATGACTTTGCAGCTATAAAAGAGGAGGAGACCATTTCTAAAGTGCAGGTGGACAAAGAACCAGCTCAGGGTAAGTACAAAAGTATTTTAATGCAAATCATCCCAGATCTATTGGTTTTATAAAGAATAGGTTGTACTTTAAGGTACCAGTTATTTAAGGGTTAAACATTTTCTCTTTAGGTAGATACCCCCCCAAAAAAGACTGAGGAATCTCAACTTTTTCATGACTAACTGAAAATGTTTTTCTCCACTGTAAAAATTTATAAAAACAGGAAAAAAAAAAAAAAAAAAA